CAGGTTGGGCAGCGAGGCAGGCGAGGCAGGGAGGCAGGCGGGGCAGAGAGGCAGGCGAGGCAGGGAGGCAGGCGAGGCAGGCGGGGCAGGGAGGCACGTTGGCAGGGAGGCAGGTTGGGCAGAGAGGCAGGGAGGCAGGTTGGGCAGGGAGGCAGGTTGGGCAGGGAGGCAGGTTGGGCAGGGAGGCAGGTTGGGCAGGGAGGCAGGTTGGGCAGAGAGGCAGGGAGGCAGAGAGGCAGGCGAGGCAGGGAGGCAGGCGGGGCAGAGAGGCAGGCGGGGCAGGGAGGCAGGTTGGGCAGGGAGGCAGGTTGGGCAGGGAGGCAGGTTGGGCAGGGAGGCAGGTTGGGTAGCCAGGCAGGTTGGGTAGCGAGGCAGGTTGGGCAGAGAGGCAGGTTGGGCAGAGAGGCAGGTTGGGCAGAGAGGCAGGTTGGGCAGAGAGGCAGGATGGGCAGCAGTGAGGCAGGTTGGGCAGCAGCGAGGCAGGTTGGGCAGAGAGGCAAGATGGGCAGAGAGGCAGGATGGGCAGAGAGGCAGGTTGGGCAGCGAGGCAGGTTGGGCAGCGAGGCAGGTTGGGCAGCGAGGCAGGTTGGGCAGCGAGGCAGGTTGGGCAGCGAGGCAGGTTGGGCAGCGAGGCAGGTTGGGCAGAGAGGCAGGTTGGGCAGAGAGGCAGGCGCGGCAGGGAGGCAGAGAGGTAGGCGAGGCAGGCGGGGCAGGGAGGCAGGCGGGGCAGGGAGGCAGGCGGGGCAGGGAGGCAGGCGGGGCAGGGAGGCAGGCGGGGCAGGGAGGCAGGTTGGGCAGGGAGGCAGGTTGGCAGGGAGGCAGGCGGGGCAGGGAGGCAGGAAGGGCAGGGAGGCAGGTTGGGCAGGGAGGCAGGTTGGGCAGGGAGGCAGGTTGGGCAGGGAGGCAGGTTGGGTAGTGAGGCAGGTTGGGCAGGGAGGCAGGTTGGGCAGTGAGGCAGGTTGGGCAGGGAGGCAGGTTGGGCAGGGAGGCAGGTTGGGCAGGGAGGCAGGCGGGGCAGGGAGGCAGGTTGGGCAGGGAGGCAGGCTGGGCAGGGAGGCAGGCTGGGCAGGGAGGCAGGCTGGGCAGGGAGGCAGGCTGGGCAGGGAGGCAGGCTGGGCAGGGAGGCAGGCTGGGCAGGGAGGCAGGCTGGGCAGGGAGGCAGGCTGGGCAGGGAGGCAGGCTGGCCAGGGAGGCAGGCTGGGCAGGGAGGCAGGCTGGGCAGGGAGGCAGGCTGGGCAGGGAGGCAGGTGGCTCAAAAAGGGCAGGCGTGCCCCCTCACACACCTGCAGGTACCCCAAGGTTAACCACACACTTACCCTCCCATGTACAGTTATATCCGCTACAGTCTGTAGTCAACACTTGATCAACCAGGCTGTGATTCATACGTCAGGCTGCGAGCAGCCGCGTCCAACAGCCTGGTTGACCAGTCCAGCAACCATGAGGCCTGGTCTAGGATCGGGCCGCGGGGACGCTGAGCCCGGAAACCATCGCAAGTTAACCACAAGGTATGATAATCTTGGTGGGCATCATCTCCCACGTATGCCCCTGGTTGATACCTGGTTGATGGGGTTCTGGGAGTTCTTCTACTCCCCAAGCCAGGTCCGAGGCCAGGCTCGACTTGTGAGAGTCTGGTCCACCAGGCTGTTGCTTGGAGCGGCCCGCAAAGCCACAGACCCACCACAGCCCGGCTGATCCGGAACTTCTCTTAGAAAACCGTCCAGTTTTCTCTTGAAGATGTCCGCGGTTGTTCCGGCAATATTTCTTATAGTCGCTGGGAGGACGTTGAACAACCGCGGACCTCTGATGTTTATACAGTGCTCTCTGATTGTGCCCATGGCACCTCTGCTCTTCACTGGTTCACTCTTGCATTTTCTTCCATATCGTTCACTCCAGTACGTTGTTATTTTACTGTGTAGATTTGAGACCTGACCCTCCAGTATTTTCCATGTGTATATTATTTGGTATCTCTCTCGTCTCCTTTCTAGAGAGTACATTTGGAGAGCATTGAGACGATCCCAATAATTTAGGTGTTTTATCTCGTCTATGCGTGCCGTATATGTTCTCTGTATTCCCTCTATTTCAGCAATCTCTCCTGCTCTGAAGGGGGAAGTGAGTACTGAGCAGTACTCAAGACGGGACAACACAAGTGACTTGAAGAGTACAACCATTGTGATGGAATCCCTGGATTTGAAAGTTCTCGTAATCCATCCGATCATTTTTCTGGCTGACGCCATATTTGCTTGGTTATGCTCCCTAAACGTTAGATCGTCGGACATTATTATTCCCAAATCCTTGACATGCTGTTTTTCTACTATGGGAAGATTCGATTGTGTTTTGTACCCTGTATTATGTTTCAGATCCTCATTTTTGCCGTACCTGAGTACATGAAATTTATCACTGTTAAACATCATGTTATTTTCTGCTGCCCAATCGAAAACGTTGTTGACATCTGCTTGTAATTTTTCAATGTCTTCAGCAGAGGTAATTTTCATGCTGAATTTTGTGTCATCTGCGAAGGACGACACGAAGCTGTGACGTGTATTTTTGTCTATATCAGATATGAGAATAAGGAACAGTAGCGGTGCAAGGACTGTACCCTGAGGTACAGAGCTTTTAACTTCGCTTGGACTCGATTTTATTTGATTGACTGTTACTCTTTGTGTTCTGTTATACAGGAAATTGAGTATCCAGCGTCCTACTTTTCCAGTTATTCCCATTGACCTCATTTTGTGAGCTATCACCCCATGGTCACATTTGTCGAACGCCTTTGCAAAGTCTGTGTATACAACATCTGCATTTTGCTTTTCTTCTAGAGCTTCTGTGATTTTGTCATAGTGGTTGAGTAACTGTGACAGACAGGATCTTCCCGCTCTAAATCCATGTTGTCCTGGGTTGTACAATTCATTATTTTCCATAAAACTAGAAATTTGATTCCTAATCACTCTTTCAAACACTTTTATTATGTGTGATGTTAGTGCAACTGGCCTATAATTTTGTGCCAAGGCTTACTTCCCCCGTTGTGCAACGGAGCTATATCTGCAGATTTAAGTGCTGCTGGTATCTCCCCTGTGTCCAGGCTCTTTCTCCATATTACGCTGAGTGCTCTCGCTACTGGTACTTTACATTTCTTTATGAATATTGAATTCCATGAGTCAGGCCCAGGAGCTGAGTGCATAGGCATATTGTCAATTTCTCTTTCAAAGTCTTCCGAGTTCGTGTTAATATCCGTTATATTATCTGCAACTTGAATGTCATTCATAAAGAAGCTGTCTGGGTCATAAACTTTCATGATGTTTATTGGTGTGCTAAACATAGCCTCATACTGGCCGCATAGAATTTCACAAATCTCTTTGTTGTCCTCTGTGTACGTACCTTCATTTGTAATTAACGGTCCAATACTGGTCGAGGTTTTTTATTTTGATTTTGCGTATGTGAAATTGATTTTGATTTTGCATATGTGAAAAAATATTTCGGATTTTTCTTTATCTCTTGTACAGCTTTCTGTTCCAATTCCATTTCCTCAGACTCATATGATCGCTTCAACGTTTGTTCTATTTCTTCGATCTCCCTGCTTAGGCTTGTTTTCCTTGCTTGTGATAGTTGTGTCTGCCGAAGCATTTCCGTTATTTTTTTCCTTCTCCCGTACAGTCGTCTTTCTAGAGTGGTCCTCTTTCTGCCCCTCCTCACAGGCACGTGCTTCAAGCAGACCTTGTAAGCTTCAGCTGTCAGTTGAGCTATTTCCTGTGTGGGAGTTTTGTCGCTTAAGACCGTCTCCCATTGAATGTTTGAAAGGTCTACATTTATTTTTTCCCAGTCGATCCTCTTATTGTTGAAATTGAATTGATTGAATATTCCTTCTCGCTTGTTGGGTCTCTTAAACCTACTACCGTTATTTATGCTAGTTCGCACTTCAATGAGCTGATGGTCTGAGTATGAAGTATCTGAGATTGTCTCTGATTAGTTCATCACTGTTTGTGAATAACAAGTCTAGTGTGTTTTCGTTCCTAGTTGATTCTGTAATCTGTTAATTGAGTGAGAATTTGTCACAGAATCTCAAAAGTTCTCTGACCTGTGGTCGGTTATTTCCCGGGTCATTCCCTGCTATGATATTTGTGTTTGCCATTCTCCATCTTAGACTCGGTAAATTGAAATCTCCAAGGAAGATAATATCTGGAGCTGGGTTTGCTAGGTTATCAAGTATGTTCTTTATTTTGTGCATCTGCTCTGTGAATTCCTCAACCGTTGTATCTGGCGGTTTATATATTAGAATAATAATTAGGTTTAGTTTCTCTACCTTAATTCCAAGTACCTCTACCACCTCATTAGTTGAGTTTAGTATTCTGTGCATACCAGGTCTTCTTTAATATACAGACCTACTCCTCCATTTGACCTAGTTTTTCTATTACATCTATATAAATTATAATTTGGAATCCAGATTTCACCATCCATGTAATCTTTTGTATGAGTTTCCGTGAATGCACCAAATATTTTCACTCCTTCTATGTTAGAGGGAGTGAACATGTTAAAGAGTCCTGGGTGATGGACAGCCAACTCACAGAGGCGGACGATAAGACTTGGCCCCTCTTGTTTAATGCTCAGGATAATGATGACAGTACACACATTGTACACACTGTATGTACAATTTTGTACGGTTGTTCAACGTCCTCCCAGCGAGCATAAGAAATATTGCCGAAACAACAATGGACATCTTCAAGAGAAAACTGGATAGTTTTCTTCAAGGATTTGTTTGATTGTTGCCGCCGAAGGCGGCTAGTTTATTGTGCACCCCATACTCATCCTGTGAGCGGTAGCGCAAAAGCATTACAGAGGGCACAAAAGGTCTTTATCAGACCTCATCTTAGATTATTACATAAACAATTTCTTCAATCCTTCACACCTTATAGATACAATGTCTTCAAGGAGTGCCGGACCAACCGGGCTGTGATGGATATGTGGGCCTGCGCAAATTTTACAAAATACATTAAATCAGCGGTACTCACGTGTGCCAAGACTCTCTGTGATGTCTAGGATGATGATGGCCTGGCCGGATGTGACGTCGCACACTGCGGGAGACACAAAAGATGGCGTCAGAAAGGAAGTACCTCATGCAGTACAGAGCCACAACACCTACGTGTAAAATGTCTTGGAAACAGCGCTCGTATACAATGAAAGGTTGCCTGCAGCAGTGTTTGCTGATTGTGTCGTAGGCGCCTCTACTCTTCGCTGGCTCTACCCTACCTTTCCTGCCATATCTTTCCATACCTGGAGCATACCTGGCGAGCGTTTCAGGAGTTCTACTTCCCGAGCCTGGGGGGCCTGACTCACTGAGAATCGCTTTGGTCTGGTGTTGGGCCTAAGGCCTATCAACCTCTTGAGGGTTATTGCCGCCGCCACAAATGCTTAATGACTAGTTTATAACCTGAAAACCTCCCAGAACTAATGTAAACACAGTGTATATACACCGAGAAATATCCCCATTTCTATAGGGATAGAAAAATAGAAATATAAGGAAATAGAAACAAAAGAAGTACCCGACCCGGTGTATATATCCCTCGGGGAGGTAATGTCCACCGGTACAGAGGTGTACTCACGTCATGCTTGCTGGCACCGAGTATTAGCTCCCAAGCCCCACCTTTCCAACTCCCGCCACTGTCTGTACTGCCCCTCCCCTCTTATATACACCACCCCCCACCTTTCGTGGCTTCATTACCTTGTATTTGTCCGGGTTGAACTCTACCAACCATTTTCTGACCAATGTTGTAGCTCATCCAGTTCACACTGTAGTGTGTTGAAGCAGTGTTCACACTAGGTGGTCGTGGAGGAGCAGTGTTCACACTGGGTGGCGGTGGAGCAGTGTTCACACTGGGTGGTGGTGGAGCAGTGTTCACACTGTGTGGTGGTGGAGCAGTGTTCACACTGGGTGGTGGTGGAGCAGTGTTCACACTGGGTGGTGGTGGAGCAGTGTTCACACTGGGTGGTGGTGGAGCAGTGTTCACACTGGGTGGTGGTGGAGCAGTGTTCACACTGGGTGGTGGTGGAGCAGTGTTCACACTGGGTGGTGGTGGTGGAGCAGTGTTCACACTGGGTGGTGGTGGTGGAGTAGTGTTCACACTGGGTGATGGTGGTGGAGCAGTGTTCACACTGGGTGGTGGTGGAGCAGTGTTCACACTGGGTGGTGGTGGTGGAGCAGTGTTCACACTGTGTGGTGGTGGAGCAGTGTTCACACTGGGTGGTGGTGGAGCAGTGTTCACACTTGGTGGTGGTGGAGCAGTGTTCACACTGGGTGGTGGTGGAGCAGTGTTCACACTGGGTGGTGGTGGTGGAGCAGTGTTCACACTGGGTGGTGGTGGAGCAGTGTTCACATTGGGTGGTGATGGTGGAGTAGTGTTCACACTGGGTGATGGTGGTGGAGCAGTGTTCACACTGGGTGGTGGTGGAGCAGTGTTCACACTGGGTGGTGGTGTTAGAGCAGTGTTCACACTGGGTGGTGGTGGTGGAGCAGTGTTCACATTGGGTGGTGGTGGTGGAGCAGTGTTCACACTGGGTGGTGGTGTTAGAGCAGTGTTCACACTGGGTGGTGGTGGTGGAGCAGTGTTCACACTGGGTGGTGGTGGTGGAGCAGTGTTCACACTGGGTGGTGGTGTTAGAGCAGTGTTCACACTGGGTGGTGGGGGTGGAGCAGTGTTCACACTGGGTGGTGGTGTTAGAGCAGTGTTCACACTGGGTGGTGGTGGTGGAGCAGTGTTCACACTGGGTGGTGGTGGTGGAGCAGTGTTCACACTGGGTGGTAGTGGTGGAGCAGTATTCACACTGGGTGGTGGTGGTGGAGCAGTATTCACACTGGGTGGTGGTGGTGGAGCAGTGTTCACACTGGGTGGTGGTGGTGGAGCAGTATTCACACTGGGTGGTGGAGGTGGTGGAGCAGTGTTCACACTGGGTGGTGGTGGTGGAGCAGTGTTCACACTGGGTGGTGGTGGTGGAGCAGTGTTCACATTGGGTGGTGGGGGTGGAGCAGTGTTCACACTGGGTGGTGGTGGTGGAGCAGTGTTCACACTGGGTGGTAGTGGTGGAGCAGTGTTCACACTGGGTGGTGGTGGAGCAGTGTTCACACTGGGTGGTGGTGGTGGAGCAGTGTTCACACTGGGTGGTGGTGGTGGAGCAGTGTTCACACTGGGTGGTGGTGGAGCAGTGTTCACACTGGGTGGTGGTGGTGGAGCAGTGTTCACACTGGGTGGTGGTGGTGGAGCAGTGTTCACACTGGGTGGTGGTGGTGGAGCAGTGTTCACACTGGGTGGTGGTGGTGGAGCAGTGTTCACACTGGGTGGTGGTGGAGGAGCAGTATGCACACTGGGTGGTGGTGGTGGAGCAGTGTTCACACTGGGTGGTGGTGGTGGAGCAGTGTTCACACTGGGTGGTGGTGGAGCAGTGTTCACACTAGGTGGTGGTGGTGGTGGAGCAGTGTTCACACTGGGTGGTGGTGGAGCAGTGTTCACACTAGGTGGTGGTGGTGGTGGAGCAGTGTTCACACTGGGTGGTGGTGGTGGAGCAGTGTTCACACTGGGTGGTGGTGGTGGAGCAGTGTTCACACTACGTTGTGGTGGTGGTGGAGCAGTGTTCACACTGGGTGGTGGTGGAGCAGTGTTCACACTGGGTGGTGGTGGGGGTGGAGCAGTGTTCACATTGGGTGGTGGGGGTGGAGCAGTGTTCACACTGGGTGGTGGTGGTGGAGCAGTGTTCACACTGGGTGATGGTGGTGGAGCAGTGTTCACACTGGGTGGTGGTGGTGGAGCAGTGTTCACACTGGGTGGTGGTGGTGGAGCAGTGTTCACACTGGGTGGTGGTGGAGCAGTGTTCACACTGGGTGGTGGGGGTGGAGCAGTGTTCACACTGGGTGGTGGTGGTGGAGCAGTGTTCACACTGGGTGATGGTGGTGGAGCAGTGTTCACACTGGGTGGTGGTGGTGGAGCAGTGTTCACACTGGGTGGTGGTGGTGGAGCAGTGTTCACACTGGGTGGTGGTGGTGGAGCAGTGTTCACACTGGCTGGTGGTGGTGGTGGTGGAGCAGTGTTCACACTGGGTGGTCGTGGTGGAGCAGTGTTCACACTGGGTGGTGGTGGTGGAGCAGTGTTCACACTGGCTGGTGGTGGTGGTGGTGGAGCAGTGTTCACACTGGGTGGTGGTGGTGGAGCAGTGTTCACACTGGGTGGTGGTGGTGGAGCAGTGTTCACACTGGCTGGTGGTGAAGCAGTGTTCACACTGGGTGGTGGTGGAGCAGTGTTCACACTGGGTGGTGGTGGTGGAGCAGTGTTCACACTGGGTGGTGGTGGTGGAGCAGTGTTCACACTGGGTGGTGGTGGAGCAGTGTTCACACTGGGTGGTGGTGGAGCAGTGTTCACACTGGGTGGTGGTGGAGCAGTGTTCACACTGGGTGGTGGTGGTGGAGCAGTGTTCACACTGGGTGGTGGTGGTGGAGCAGTGTTCACACTGGGTGGTGGTGGTGGTGGTGGAACAGTGTTAACACTAGGTGGTAGAGGAGCAGTGTTCACACTAGGTGGTGGTGGAACAGTGTTCACACGGTGTTCAGTTTCACTACCAAAGAGGGATGAAGATTTTTCAGGTGGGCGAGACCGCAGATGTTATCCGATGCAATGACTGGCCAAAATGCGTTTTTTCCCCTCGCTAATGCGGACCCCGACGGCGAGGGCAGCCTTCGCTTCGCCGTCATCCAAGCTGCTGATAATATAACATATTAACACGAACTCGGGAGACCTTGAAAGAGAAATTGACATCATGCCCATGCTCTCAGCCCCTGGTCTGTCGCAGTTACTCAACCACTATGACAAAATCACAGAAGCCTTTGAAGAAGAGCAAAATGCAGATGTTGTATACACAGTCTTTGCAAAAGCATTCGACAATGTGACCATGGGGTGATAGCTCACAAAATGAGAACAATAGCAATAACAAGTATAGTGGGGCGTTGGATTTTCAATTTTCTGTCAAACAGAATGCAGAGTGAGTCAACTAAGAAAGATCAAGCCCAAGTGCAGTGAAAAGCTCTGTACCCCAGGGCACAGTCCTTGCACCTCTGCTATTTCTCATTCTTATCTCTGATATAGACAAAAATACTAGTCACAGCTTCGTGTCATCCTTTGCAGATGATACAAAAATCAGCACAAAAATTGCCTCTTTAGAAGACACTGAAAAACTGCAGGCAGACATTAATAAGTTCTTCGATTGGACAACTGAAAATATCACGATATTTAACGGTGACAAGTTCCACTATTAGGTATGGTGGAAACGAGAAACTTAATCAAAACACAGGGTACAGGACACAATCAGACCTACTCATAGAAGGAAAACAACATGTAAAAATCTTCGAATTATGATGTCTGACAACCTGACATAGATGTTCAGACCGTCCTTTTACAAATTACTTCGCTTCTCGCTCGTAGGCGCACACAGGCTATAAATCGACGTAATTCAATATGAAATCGTCTCACGAAAGTGACGTACTCTCCCGTTTTCTGTTTGATTCCTCCGGCTTACTCGGTTAGCTTAGGAGAGAAAACTTTCAATTAACAGTTTTCATGACGTTTTGAAACCTTAGGAGAACTTCCTGCCCTCCTAACCTACCAGACGACTCTTAACTTGCTGTTTTAAAAAAATACATTAAAAATTTGACTGGAAAATAAGTTTCCAATCAAATGTATTTTTAATTGCGTTGATATTTGGCCAAAGCGCATCCGAGCGAAAAGCGACGTAATTTGTAAGAGGACAAGTTGCAACATAACCGAGCAAATATAGCGGCGGCCAGGGGAAATGATAGGGTGGATTATGAGAACATTCAAATCCAGAGACCTCACAGCAATACTAATACTATTTAAATCACTGGTGCTGTCCCGTCTTGAGCATTGCTCGGTACTCACTCCCCCTTCAGAGCGGGAGAGATCTCTGACATATAGGGAATATAGAGAACATATACGGTACACATAGACACGACAAAACATGTTAAGTATTGGGACAGTCTCAAAGCAGTCCGCATTTGTGGATCCGTTTGAATCAT